ATTTTCTCTAGCTAGCTCTCTAGTGTAGCTAGCTAACCGCGATCCTACTACCGCGATCCTACGCCTCGCTTCTTATCGCATTCTTATCGCTACTAACAAAACAGCGCGATTGTAGTGCAATCGCGCACATCCTCTAGGGTAGGGTAGGCGTGCTGCGAATGTTAAGAATGTTGACTGACAGCTTACTAGTAAGTATCCTCGGTGTGTTTTTCTAGTTGCAACAGACTATATGGAGCCAAAACATAGATTCACACTGTTGGTCACTCGTGATTCCAAAAGCAGCTCCTAACCCTATGGCATCTAATTGATGGCTGTAGGTTTTACGTATAACTCCCTATCAACTGCTGGAGGCATTACTACACCAACATTTTACTTGACTTCAACGATATATGACTTCACGAGTACTATCACGACGACTGTTAGCGGAGGCACAATATGGGTCACTCCTGCGCCCGTTGTTCTTACAAAGTATATTTCGAAACCACAACAGCAATGCTGCTTGAATGCTAACCTGCTCTAGAACAAGCATAATCAATAGCACAACGACGAAGACTTTACCAACTAGTACCGAGGTCGTGACCGCCGTCGTAACGTCAACAATATTGAAGACAGCGTATCAGATGACAACCACAACGACTGTGAACATTTCCGCCGTAGCATCCTGTGGAATCTTTGGCTCCGAGACGCCTAAAGCCTCGCCACGAGCAATTATGGAAAGCCTGCCCTGGGCTTGCTTCGATGACCATCTCCTAGCCAAGACTGATGGCAGGGTCGAACCGCCAAATTTGCTGGACACTGTCTATGTCTACTGTGTGACGTTCATACACTTGGAGCCGCAGTTATACACAACAATCACCAGTGGCATGGTAACAAGCACTCGTACAGGTTCCACGAGGACAGTCTACACCACCAGCAAGATTGTTTCGACCTCTGTTGTCTCGCCAACCGTCTCCACCACAACCACGTTAACGAGTACCGTCCACGCTACCACAACAAGCCCCATTTTCACATACACCGAGGCCATTAGTACGTTAACAGGCCCATACATGACCCCAGTGCCATGGCCCTATGTACAATGCAACGGCTACTTCATGGCAAACATGCAGAGCAACGTCCCTATAAGCGGTATAGTCGGGCAGCTCTTCCAGGCCAACTGGACGAGCGACTCCCCGTATGATTGTTGCATGGGAGGTATAAGCAACAATTACGTTGCCGGATGGCAATTTGATGGGGCTCGGTCGTCTGGTGACAGGTGCTATTACCTTCCAGCAAATGAGAATGGAGTTCACAGGGACTTTGCTGTGTTGTTGGGTCCGCACGGCGTTATCGTTGGTAACGGCCTGTCTGGTGGCGCAACATCGGGGCAGTACAGCACGGCAGGAGAGAAAGATGAGTTGTGATTCAAACGCGCGTAGGATGAAGTGGCTAGACGCAATGGCGGGACAATCTAAGGTAGATGTTTAGGAATGACGATATGGATAAAGTGTTTTATAACCCTAACCGGAGACTGCGCATGTCCATAAGGGAGGAGTCGGGCGTCAGGCTGTCTTCATGACTTGAGAAGAAAGATTTGTAGGTGTGGTGGTGACTCTAGATGCGTGACGGGCGAGGGCTGAAGAGGGGGCTGTAATCAAAAGGGTTGCCGAACATGGCGGGAAGGGTGTGTTGATATGTGGGGATGAGGTCTATCGTTCGCGGCGTGGGCAAGACACGATGGAGACATAAGTTAGCTTCAAATATCGCGTGAAGGCAAGTTTTGCACATTGAAGTAGTGAAATTGCTAGTTTGAGGGCGAGTTGTGCTCGTGTGTCATGCGTGTGGAGGAGCAGTAATTGTTGTTGATTGAGTTGAGATCGTCTCGCTTGCGGTCCTCTTGTTTGTGGCTGCCTTGCTGCAGCGCACAGATACTACGATACTCCGCCTGGGTCGAGGAGCCGGACATGGCAGCTAGTTGGGCCTATGTAGTGATTGCCTGTTCTGACTAAGGATTTCGTGACAGGGCTGGGCGACTAGGATTGACGTCCAATCTTTGCAGCAGCTCTAGTGACGTCTGGTGTAGACGCACGAGCTGCACGTTCACACTACCCACATACAATAGTGCGCAGATGATGCTATGATGGCAAGTAAGCTAAGATCGCTGCTCAAACTGCGTGAGAGTTCGAGCTGTAGAGTCTGTGTGGTGGTTCGCTGCACCATCTGCATGACGAACGCTCGCCGCAAAGCGAAGTTGTCACGAGCTGGTAGTCCGCTATGCAGCCCATAGACAGCGCCAGCAAGCGCCTTCCCCTCAGCCTGGCCACCGCTCTCAAGCTGTCTCGAGATGTCTTTTTGACCCCCCGCCCACCTGTAGCATCGTCCAGTGCAGCAACAGCATCATCCACGTCTATCTAGTGTCAGTAAACATCCCCATCGCCCACCGCAGGCCTACCATTGATGCTCGGCCTACGGTGGGACCCCTCGTCATCAGCCTTCCGTCCAACCCAGCGGCCCATCTTCTCCTCACGTTTCAACCTATGCTCCCCAGCAATCCAGATGTGCATCTGCGCGGTGACCTCGTTACCTTGTACATCCCAGTTCTCAGCATCGCCGGCACGACCCTCGTTCTCAGGGCCCTAATCGTGACCTCTTTACGCTCGTACTCGTCGCCCTCGAATATGTCAAGGCGCCAGGTATCACCGTTTGTCAGGCCGCGTGGGAAGAATGACGATGGCGTAGTCGACTCACTTGACGTGGCGGCGCTGGTGCGCGTGCAGGATTGCGAGGCGGATAGAGAGCAGCGTGGTGCGGGACCGGCGGGGCTATGAGGGTGCTGTAGAAGAAACATTGTTGGACGACAGCGGGCCTGGAGCCAAGTCAGGCCCTGCGTGCGCCCTTCGCTTACAAACGCGACCCATAGAAAGGGCCACGCCTTACGAACTTTGCCCAAGCGACACCTGTACCCCTCGCGTTACGCCAATCTCATGCGCAAGCCTTCTCGCGCGAGATAAGCTATGTGGCGCGCCTGAATACATTAGCTTCGATGCCGTGACTCCGAACCTATGCTTTGTAATGACGACTCATTTGCTGCTTGCAAACTCGTCGCGACCGCGTCACTACAAAAGAAGAGAACGAGAAGATGATCGCATCGCGTATCACGTTCCGTCTGCCATTCCATCCGAACTTTGCATCGCGTCGCGTAGCAACACCAAAATCCCGAGCCAACAAGCGCGTAAGAGGACCACGATAACATGATCTCCACAGACTCTACTCCAACACTGGTAGCTGTCGATGGCACTCGCGCCCTCGCGCTTTACTCTCACGGTCCGGAACCCAGTAGTACACACGATCCGGTGGTTGTCTTCGTTTCTGGTGTCGCAAGCAGCAGCCTGAATTGGGCAGCGGTGGTTCGACAGCTTTCGTCTTCGATGCGCTGCTATACTTATGACCGCGCTGGTTATCGCCACTCCGATATTTCCCCACATCCACCAACAGCTCAAAACATCGCGCAGGATCTTCGACACCTTGTCGAGAACGCTCCCATCACCAATCCTCTCATCCTTGTCGGGCATTCCTGGGCTGGTGTACTCATCAATGAGTTCATCGCCCTCACGGGAAACGGCAACCACATCGCTGGCCTGGTCCTTGTCGACGCCAATCATGAGTCAATGCCGCAGGTGCTAAACGTCAACGACCCCGATTTGCAGGTTGTTTCTGAGGGCATTGACCCATACATAGCCAAGGGTCTTGCGGAAGAGCATAAGATGACACAGGCCGAATGGGATGCGCTTATGGCCGATGAATCGACCGAGAAGTACGCAACAATCGCGCGCCTGGAGGATGAGCAGTACGCTGCGAGCTTCGAGACGTTGCGGAGTAAGCGGCTAGATCAACAGCAGCCGCTGCTTGGCGGAAAGCCAGTATACGTGATCGGCGGCATGCGAAGCAGGGATTGGAACGGGATGTATAATGCTGGGATTGCGAGAGGCAATGGAAGCGAGGACCAGAGGACCAGAGTACGCGCATTGATTAGCACAGCCGACGAGAAGAGTGAGAGCATCCAGAAGAGACATCTCGAGCTTTCAACGAAGGGCAAGCTGGTATTTGCGCGTGAGAGTGGCCACTTCGTGCAGATGACCCAGCCTGAGCTCATTGTCAAAGGAGTGGAATGGGTTGTCAATTGCTTGAACTGTATGTAGCTAGCAGTGCATTATCGAGCGCTTCTCCGTTAAGTAGTGTCGCGCTATGCTGCTTTGTGCTTACCTTGGATCGCTTAGCTACATGCACCTGTATCTGCGGCCCGCCATATCTAGAAAGCCTTGGAGGTTAACCTCAACTCGGGTACGTGGTACAGTGGTTGGTAAGATCTATGTACGAACTGCCTGTGTATCAAAGACTTGCTTCGTACATGGAACTTCAGGCTTGAAAGTGCAAAGCTTAACAAAGTTTTCAATAGTTAGTGGTGAACTCCCACACATGCCATTTCCACGACTAGCGCCTTGTACTTTGTATATACGTATACTCTCCCATGCTCCAAATATTACAAGCTTGTTCGCGTCTACAAAGGGAGAGACATGTTCTATCGTAGAGCAGAAGGTCTACCTCATACTCTTCTAGCAAGAACAACCACCACCGTCAAACTTTCACGACTAAAATACCAGAAGAGGTAGAAGATTACACCTTCACCTTGACAACATGGCATCAACCACGATCCTTATCACAGGCACCAATCGAGGCATAGACCTTAGCCTTACCTAGTGCTTCCTAACAAAAGCCTTACAAACCGTCATTGCCGCAGTGCAGAACCCAGCACACACGTCCGCACATGCACTGCAAAAGCTGCTCATAGGTCTCGACAGCCGGCTCGTGATCGTGAAGCTCGACGCAAGCGTCGAGAAGGACGCGCAAGTGGCCGTTGCCGCGCTGCAGCAAGAACACAGAATCTAGCACCTCGACATTGTCATTGCGAACGCCGGAACTGGGTACATATACCCCCCGAACCCCGGAGGTCAAAATTGCGGATATAAGGGCGCACATGGAGCCGAACGTGTATACCGTGATAGCGCTATACCAGGCGACACGAGAGCTCTTGGAGAACTCAGCGAACGAGCCGATATTTCCACCGATGGGTTCGTCAGCAGAATTGTTGGTGTAATGCATTCCTACTTTAGGCCTCCTGCCTCGTGCACATCGCGACTTTACCAATTGTAGCAGCAGCACCTGGTTCTTGACTAGACTGTCGTGCGAGAATGCTACATCCTGATGCGCTGGTCCCATCATACGCGACAATAATGAGCCTTGCATTTCCAAGGCAGACAGGCGTTTGCGAAAGTTAACGACGTGGGTCGCCTTGTTGGTTGTGAAGCCCGACATCATCCTTATTGGTCCCGAGGTCCGCTCGCTTGCAACCTCAGGAAGCATCAAGCGAGATATACCCCACAAATATACCCTAGGCGGATGCGGGTCGAAGGTTTACGGCCTCACTATGCCTACTCAAGCAAGGAGCGGGCCGCAGCCGATCCCACCCAGGTCCACTCTTGTTGTGGAGCAACGAATCGATCGAACATAAGATAACAGGTCCATCCATACCTTGTCACAAGGTGACAGTAATATAGGTAGGTAGGTGTGCCGTGTTCCGGTGGGATGAGTACCTAGCTTTGTCTATCTGCCGTGCAGCCGATTTATCCTTCCATGAGGCTACGTACAACTTCGCTCTGAAGACGCGATACCACGGCCTTTACTGTTAGGCTTCCAGCTTACCACCTCTATGTCCGTACCCCTCGCACCACTTCGGTGCTACTGCCGGTAACCATCTGACGTAGGCTAAGCCTCAGGTACTAGACTAAGGCTCTCTCTTCGCCCCAGATAGTCTGGGCGCCCAGATAAACTCCTGCAGGACTTCGGGCACTATAGTTGTAGGCGATGCGAACTACTCTTATGATGTTCCATCGTGCTATTATGTGCAAAGACCGCATGGCTGATCACCACCCCATATCGTTAAACCCAACAACCGGAGGCTCCGAGACATGAATCACGGACTAGACTTTTCCCACGATGATCTCGATCCGTGCAGTCGTAAATGTCATCAATACTCTTGGCTCGGATAGAATCGCACCTTCCTGAAGACAATCGTCCCGCGCGAGGCCATGACAACAGCATGTGTAGCAACAGGACGTGCTTCACCACATGTAACCTCAGCCGGGCGTTATGAGAGACTCCAAGAGTCTGGAGGCCTGACGAGATAGCTATAAAAACAGACTGATGTCCTGCAGTGCCAGTCTGCATCTTCTCTCATCAGCAGCTCTCTCTATCAACTACAGCGAGTACCCTACGGACACGAGTCTCTATCTATACATCCCGATAGCCTCTCCAAAATGAAGAGCTTCACCCTCGTCTCCTTCGCGGCGGGTCTTGGGCTCGTAAATTGCCAAGCGGTTTTATGCAATGGCGCGTTTAGGCCCAGCTACGAGGATTGTAAGTTCTGCTCGTTTAGCCCTTTTGCTGTGGCCTGAATCTGACACTTTGTGTTTCTAGGTGATGAGACCGTAAAGTTTTTCAACCTAGAGGGAAGCACTCACATCACCCATACCAACGGCGAGCTTAACCCTGCGCCATCTTGCTATCACTGGTGGTGGGACGGCGGAAACTGCCTCATCTCCCACTGCTTCCAAGAATCAGGGACTGACGACCCAAACAACCCTCGCACCATTACAGATGGTCAGGTTCACCAGCTCTATACAAGTGTGAGGGACAGATGCATGCCCTTCCTTTCCGGAGGCAAGTTCACTGGTGCCTTGGAGTTTCTGGAGGTCACCAACGATGAGGGAGGTGATGGTCCCCCGACTAAGCGCGCGATGAAACGAGCAGAGTTTCCGGGCCTCAACGTGGAAACCTTTGCCAATGGCATGAACAGTGGCCACTCTAGTCTGGAGGATTACCTTGAGTGGCGCAACGACACCATGAGCGGCAGCGACACTGCTGGAATTGCTAAGCGCCAGAGTGAGGATGACAGCTGGGACGTCAGCTTCACGGCGCTCAACGTCCGCAACCCTGATGTCTTCACACTTGGTTTGCGCCTCGACAGCAAAGTCGGCTACTCATACGAAGTTTCTGAAAGCCAGACCTACAGCGTTACAACGTCAGTGAGCATGGGAGGCGCTATAGAAGCTTTCTCTGCAAGCGTCGGTGTGGAAGTCAGCCAGTCGGAGACGTTTACTGTCACTGAAGGAATTACGTTTGACGTCGACTGCCCGAAACAGGGTCAAATCACCTTCTGGCCTCTCTACAACTACTATGAGGTCAAGGGACATCCTAGTGAGAAGGAATACGAGATCTGGCTCCCCGTCCTTACCCCCGATAGGAAAATCAATGGCGAGATTGCTGTTTCCTGCCTAGGTTAGACTGATAAGAGGCTCGTTTATAGTGGAGAGCCGGCGTACAGAATTAGGAAAAGAGTTTAAGGTAGGAAGTGCGCCGGCCCACAGAGTTCTTAGAGCAGGTGTATCCGATACTTCGTTATCGGAGGATATAAGAAAGGAGCATTTTCCTGAGCGAACAGATCTTGAATTCTTACTCTCTTTACCAGCCATTACAGTATATAAAACCCCGAATAAGACTTATGTTACCCCTCGCGCATTTTCCAAGAATCGTCATCCGCTATGTTTGCCCTCCCAACTTCTATAATCCTCACTACTTCCTTCACGATTTCCATTGTCAGCATAGACTGGTCCCGTTCCTTCGTGATTGCACACGCCAGCCTGATTGCGCTCTTGATCTGTCTACCGTTGAATTCATGCTGTCCAAGGACCATGGGATCGATGTTCTTTGCCATCTGTAACGAGATCCGTTTGAGCAAATTGCTCCAAATTTGGGCTCTAGCCTCGGGCGTCAGATGGTTATATCGTAGGGCGAGTGTAGTTCTGCTTTCAAACGCTGGATCCAGATTACGCATGCGGTTGGTAGTGAGGAACAGAATGCCTGAGTGGTACTCCAAAAGGCGCAGCATGACGCAGACCATCGAGTTGCGGACCAGGTCGGAAGTGCGGCGTTGCTCGAGGAAAACATCGGCTTCGTCTAGGACTATGATAGCGTTCCACTCGGAACATAGTTCAAGCACATCTGAGAGACGGCGTTCCATATCTTCTGCCGTCGTGCCTAATTCTCCCATCGTCACGTAGTATAACGGGCGATGCAGGACTTCAGCAACAGCTTCGGCTGTTAGTGTCTTCCCGACGCCGGGAGGGCCGTGGAGCAGGAAGATACTGCCGCTGCGTTTGTTGTCAACGATATCTTTGACACTGGCGTCGTTTCCGAATCTTACGAGTGCACGAATGAGGTGTTTGTACTCCTCGGCTAGAACAAGATGTTGAAATGCGGTGTCCTGGAACTGGATCGGCGAAAGACCTGAGACCAACACGTGGCCCCAACATTTTGCAGTAAAGCTAAAGCCGACAAGGGCAGGCCAGCAGTAGGGAATGAACTCATCAGGGACCGTATCCCATAGAGTGAGCACATCCGTTGCAGAGCTCTTTCCAGATGATGTGTTGCGCCACTGTCGATAACGTTCGGCGGTCTTCGTCATGGCTAGCATTGATTCATCCATACCCTGGCAAGGCTGGTGGTCCAATAGAGCGCCGCGATCTACATCGATCATAACACGGCCTTCTGAGGGAAGCTGGCTGCTCGACGTACTGGCAAGAGAAGAATAGCTTGGACGTGATGGTCGCACATGGCGGTAGAATGATGCGCGAGAGTATGCCAGAAATTTGACACCGCTAGTGGCAAACTCAACATATCGCTCTCCCCTTTGTCTGAGTTCGCTCAACTCGACAGGTGATACTGGCGTATACGTGAGTTCTGATAGCGATCTTGCGCGAACGCCTGTCCAGCCGTTCAATTGCTCGGTCAAGTTCACTACGGTGAAGTGCGTGCCCATTGTCGCCACGAACTCCATTGTCCAGTTGAATGTCCTCTGAACTCCTGTCAAGCCCCGATTCTCTTGATAGAAAGACTCGTTGACAAGAAAGACTGCGGCCGAATCTCCAGAGCCCATCACTGCCTGAACTGGAACTCCAGGGCGATATAATTCGCCCAGCGCCTCGAAGGTGATCAAACCGCGCTGGATGGTGTCACGTGCTTCATCAATCTGCTCTTGAAAGGCATGCTCGACGATCCGGATCACGTCTTCAAGCCCCGGTATTTGGATGACTTGGTCAACCCGACTGAGACGGAAACCGAAGCCTGAGAAGAGATTCAAAGTCCGTGGTCTCCAGTAGTGCAAGAAGGCAGGTGTAGATGAGACGACTCCCTCGTTGTAGTTGGCAACTGTATGTTGCAAGCTCCGTAGTCGTCCCAGTATTTTGTACAGATCGGTCGTGGAGACTTGATGCGCCCGGGGTACGCCAAGGTAATGGCGGATGATGGGCTGGAGGGATAAGGCACCAGCACCACCCTGTATGTCCTGGAATTCGAACACTTGATCCTCCGTGCTTCCCTTGATTGAAAATGGACGGGACGCGGGTTCCGAAGCAGTCATCGTTACTGATCTAGCTGTTTTGCTCTTCGGCAGAGGGGGCGGAGGAGGAGGAATGCTTGCCATGATCTGTGTCGACGAATGTATCGTTGCATCGACATTTTATGTAGGGTGAGGTTGCTGCTGGTTCGCGCCATGACACGCGCCTGAGACCGAGGTATACGTGCCACTTCTTGGTAGTATATCTTGGCGACCCACAGTGGTTGTTGTTGAATAAGAAGTTTTGATGGCTGCCTTTGGTTTGTACCGAGGCAATTGCGGGCTGAAATAGCTGCCTGTTTTAGACACGTATCACGCCAAGTGGTGAGCCGTCTGAAGCTGAGCAAAATCACGTTTTAGCGTGGTCGTCACGCTTAGCTACGATAGCTAGCGTGATCTTTTGTCACACAAGTCAAATTAACAATGGCAGAGAGTGAAGAATGCATATTTGGAGGACGAAGGGTAACTAATCTGGATAACACACTGCACAGCACCCTAGTTCATACGTCGGTGTTGTGTACCTTCTCCGGTGCGCTGATCTTTGCGCTATCGGCATGCTGCTGAAAATGTCTTACCGAAGTCTTCTGTGCATACAGCCAGTCGACTTCATTTGTACTCAAACCATGCAGATCCGGCACAAGGAACCAGGAGCCAATCAGCACAAGCATTGAACTTCCCATGAACACAAATCCAGTGCGGGCACCCAGGTTACCGGAATCGGTGTTGTACATATAAGGTACAGTGAACGTAAATAACCATGTCGTCGCTGCGTTCGGAATGATGCCGATCGGTTGCGTCTTTGCCCGCAGACGATACGACGAGAGTTCGGCCCTATACATTATTGTTCGCAAAATAAGTATAGATAGTTGCGACCTTAGTTCATATCGCGATTGTAACAACAACGTTGTTTATTTAAAGTTCGATTCTCAGTAGGTCAAAGAGGCGGAATACTAAGTATCTACACACCCGACTTCAACAGCGCCGGGTACTTCTCTACCCCGGGCTCATCAAAAGTCTCGATCAACGCCGCAACAGCAGGATGCATACCCGCCTCCACCGCCATCGTCGTCCACTGTTCCATAGGTAAAACTTCATACCTTTTCCCAACCTTGCTCAACCCCACATCCGCCATCTGCGCCATGGGAATCACTACATCACCCACGTTGTTCACGTACGTGATGCCATGGCGTCCTTGGTCTGGTAACTCTCGGACAACATCCTCGCAGCACGTTTCGACAGACACGAGATCGAAAGCGCCGGCGTTGTAAACAACTCTCGGCACCGTCTTCGTCTTGTGTGCAAAGTGCAGGAGCGAGTTGACCCAATCGAAGCCCGCACGCTCAACAGTTGCGTCTTCGCCGTCGCGGATAATGGTCGACGGACGTTGAATGACAATGCGCAAACCGTATTTATCATACACTCGCTCGAGCATCTTCTCGCACGTCCATTTTCCACACATGTAGCCGTGCGTGCCGTCGGCTGGTGGTGTCTTACCCGTCTTGGTGCACGAAATCGGTGGGAAGGCTTCCAGCTCGGTGAAAAGTGCTACACCAGCCGATGAGACGTAGTGAAGGGGGATCATGCGCTGCAGACAGGTGGCGATGAGCTGTTTTGTCGATTCGACATTTGCGCGCTTCAGTGCAGAGTAGTACTTCAGATGCGACGTGTCGGAGCCGTTGTGGATGACTGCGTCGGCCTCACGGAAGACAGACGTCCAGGTTGCAACGTCTAGGCCGAAATAGGTAAATGTGAGGTCGCCTTCGTAGTATACGATGCGCTCGCTTGGGACGGGAATCTCTCCACTTTCGATGCGCTCGTTTAGCCGACGGACTGCAAGGCAGATGATCTTCCGGATCGACGGTTGCGCCACAAGCGTGTTGAGAAGGTGGTGGCCAAGCAGGCCGCTGCAGCCAGTGAGGACGACGACTTCCGGATTCTCCTTTGGTTTGGGCGCATCCATGAGCTTGTCGAGAGTAAAGGGCTCAGGCGGAGTGGTCTCAAAGTCCCAGTCTACCGTCGGAGGGCTGCCAGACTTGGCCTTGACTTCTTTGTCAGGAGTCACTGCGCCCGAAGTGTTAGTTAGAGTAGCGCGGGTGCTCGTCGTATCAACGTCACTGTTTTGAGCCGACGGCTCACTGTTCTCAGTATTTGGTGTCGAAGCGCCAGTCTGGACAACGTTGAATTGCTGAACCTGTGGCACGAGTTCCGCGGGGATGCTTCCAGCGGCCAGCTCGACCAAGCTAGACATGCGCACTTCGTTAGCCATGATCTTGAGGACTGGAATACTGACGCGGAAGTTCTTGAGGAACCACGAGCGTACGTCGACTGAAAGCAGCGAGTCGAAACCAAGATCCACACCTCGCATCATCATCAGGTCGTCGTCGACGGTGGAGACCTGCAGCATCTTGCGCAGCTGGGCGCAATAGGTCTGCTTGATCACATTTGCAACATCGGACGGGGAGCGACACGCCTGCAGCAGCTCCTGGGTGGATGCCGAGTTTGTCGACCCCGATTTTTCGCCACTATCACCAGACTTGTTGATGCGGAAACGGGCGAACTTGGGGTCGGAGTACCACGGCGGAATGTCAATGGTATTTGGAGTGATTTGAAGTAGACCGGTCGAGATCTCCGGGCCACTGGGGTTGTCTAGGTGACCTGCCTCCATGCACTCGGCAAAGATCTGGTGGAAATCTTGCTCTGACAAATGCATCATGGCTGTCTTCGCCACTGTCACATCAAGTTGGCGATCGGACTGTGTGATGTAACCAACACCGATAATGGCGCCGACATTGACGACGGACGAGCGAAGGCCACGCTTGCGCCGGTTGCCTGCGACTCCAATCATTCCCATGTTGGCCGCGGCGTAGTTGGCCTGACCGACGTTTCCGA